CTTCCTTCCTTCCTGTGGTTTATTTGTTCGCTCCCTTTCTCTTCCTCTCGTTCTGCTGCCTGAAGAGGAGAGAGAGGTGGGAATGTGACCTCGTTCAACAGCAACATGACGAAGGCACATCCGGCAAGGAAACATTTTTGATTTGATTTATCCATGAAGTCTCCAGGCTGATGTTTTTCTTTTCCTTTTCTTCTAGGAAGGGGTGAGACTGAGCTGAGTTGTCTTTGCTGATTTGGGGCCGACAAACAAAAAGCCAAATCCAAGATCCCTCCAGGATTTGCAAGGTAAGTGAGATTTCAAGAGGTGGCTTAAGTAGCCTTGCCACACACACACTCCTCTCAATTTCCCCGACCCAGCAGGGATTTGAATCCAGATCTCCTGGTTTCCAGACTGGTACTCCATTCACAGCACCACACTTCTTCTTTGAACATGTGCAGAGTGTTCCTATTTGATGGTATGGTTTTCTTTGCATCTTATTTAAGTGTTATTTTTTAAGATTTCAATCCTGCTCACCCCAACTTCAGACTCCAAGGGCGGTCCTCTTCATAACAGGCAAACCTTGGTCATCCTGATTTGGGGTTTCTGGGGTTCCCCTTCAAGTCTCCCTTCTTGTTCCCCCTTAACAGACAAGCAGGAGTTTTGAATTTTCCTTTAAACCATTGTAATTTATTAACTTTAACATCATTTCTTTTCTCACCTTCTCCTTCAGTGTCACTCCCCAGATTGGTCCACGCACAGATAGTCATAAGAATAGACTACCATAATTCTCTTTGTGGGGCTTCCCTTGAGGCTGACACCAGCAAATGCAAGAGGGGCAGCGTCTCCTCAGTCCACAACTCTCCCCCTTCGGTCGTCTCCTCTGGGAAGGCAATTCCACACCCCTGCGTGGGGGAAGGTTCCTCCATTCTGCATTCTCTCTCTTCTTCTTTCCTGTTTGCCTCCACTGTTTCCTTATCCTTCAGCTCCATCCTCTTCTTTTCTGTTTACCCTAGTAGAAAGGTTTCTTGGCTGTGTGATGGTTCCTTCACCTTCCGGCTGTGATGAGATGGGTTTTTGAGTTAAAATCTTTTAAGGCATATGGGTTTTGTAATTAAGAAATAAGCCAGAGAGGTTCCATCTTGTTTCTTTGTATATAGTATCTGTGCTATGCTGACAAGTTGTTTTCTAGGCGAGCAGAGAGAATGTTATTCTGAAGGCCTGAGAAAGGACTCTGTGTGATTAGATAGATGGGAATTGTTGTGACTCTTTGATAAACCACAGAAAACCCAAATAACATCTGATGCGTATGGGAAGGAAGTCATGTGGTGCAACAGGACTGTTTGCCTAGTAACGAACTCTGATTGGATGACATCGTGGGAAGGTGCGATGAGCCTTTGCCAGTTACTCTTGAAAAAGGAACTTTTTGCCTATGGACTTTGTCTTTCCAAGACCGACCTTTCAGTCATTCGTGACCTACTCTTCAGCCATTTGGGACTGGTGGCCTACCTACATGGACTGGTTCCTATGCTTTGCTGGATTACTTTTGGACTTATGGGATTTTTCCTAAGGACTGTGCATGGACTATTTTCTATGGACTGTTCTATGGAATATTCTTTATGAACTCCTTTTCTTGGAATACTCCATATGGACTATGCTCTTGTAAATTTGTAAGGACTATGGTATATTTACTGGATTTTTCTTTTCTAAGGACTATGGGACACATAATGGATTTTTACTTTTGTTTAGGGGTTTTTATTCTATAGTATCACTGAGGACTATAGCCTTTTTATAACCTACTTGGATTATTTTGTTTTTACTAATGATTTCCTAGACTGGAACTGTTTTTATTCTTTTTAATGTCTTTTTGTGTTTT